TGTTTTTCCCAAATACCCACCAGTAACACTCATGCTGAGCTTGGCTAGTTGGGCTAAATTTGGGGAGGAGAATAGCACTGGAAGGATTTTTACTCTATTCCCTCTCCCCACAGCTGCCATCATATTTACTATTAAATTACTAGAAAATGTCAGAGAAGCTGAAGATGAATGTTTGTTATATGAAGAGAGGCAGAGAAGCTGTTTGAAGACAGACTGTAAATAGAGCTCCAGACGAGGCCAGCGGGGATAGATATCCTGGTTGGCAGCAAAGAGACTGGCAGAGGAAAGAGAAGTAGATAAGTGTATTTCTATGGCTAGTGGGAGAATAGAAAGGGTGAGACTGGCAAGTAGGCCTCAGACAGGCCTTCACCCAAGGGTCCCTTGTTCCATCCCGGCCTCTCTGGATCTAGCCTAAATTTTCCTAACATCCTTAGGTCCTTCCTTGCTATGTAGCATTTACTATTAATCAATACCTTTGTGATAATTCTTGTGGCTGAATGATTCTAAGTTATTTTGCAATTATTATTCTTGCTATGATCGTATAAATCTCACATTTTTAATCAGTTGTATATTCTTCCCATGAACTGTAGAATCTTCTATTGCAGATGACTGGGTCCTTGACAAGGAGGCTCTGGTTAGTCTAGCAGTGTTATTAAACAGATCAGATTTCCAGTTTGCAATTAATAAAAATATAATTAAATACATAGAGGCAAAGCAGAAGATAATTTAATCTTTCTGCTATGATTCAGAAGTCATATCAGGGTCATCATGATAAACCTCAATTAAAGTACTACAGAAGTGTAGGGACATTGGCGAGTGGCATTCCGGTTGAAAGAATGCCAGTTAGACCAGATTCTACTCCATGTATTAATAACATCGGGTACTACATTCATTGATTTCCCCAATATACTGATCCTAGTATAAGCTCTGGTAGACTCCCCTATAGTTAACTTCAGCTGACTAAATCCACTCTTCTAGCCTACAATAAAAAAACCAAGACTGTTTCATTTTTATGAGATTATCCTACCAAAAATCATCTATCTAAAGATCCAATCATATTTTAAATCCTATTTCTGAACATATTTGGTTGTATTCCTTTTGGCAGAACCTGTTGTAGTTTCCATTTATAGTTTATGCTTTCTTTTCTTTCCATACTGTACTTGATTGTTAAACAAAATACACTGATCATTACCCTCCTTCCCCATCAGATTATTGGAGGGTCTTTTAAGGGGTTCTTTATAATTTAGTAACTGAACATTTTTTAAAGAAGAAACTATCATTACATAAAAAATTTCTACAGACCTGAGAACTGTTGGTTGTTTCTAAAAAGCCCCTTTATGTTGGTCAAATGAATCACAATATTTATAGGTCTTTGTAGTGTTTCAGTATAAAAGAAAAACTACAGTATATAAGAAAATATAAGATTTTCATCAGGAATGAGAAAGAATACCATATTTACTTGCTTTCCACACACACATATACCAAAGGGAATAGATGTCATTTTTTTCTCTTCTTTCCAAACTTATCACTACTAGTGACTAAATAAAGGCGTGGTAAGATAGGCTGAATCACTCTAAATGACCCCTTTTGTACAAATTTTAGCATATGACTGGGCTTCAAGAGAGTCTTGATTTCACAAGATTGCTGCTGTAACTCCAGCTATCACACTCAAGTTCCATGCAAGCATAGGGCTTGAGTCTGCCCTGCCAGTATCCCACCACCAGACACACAAATAAGGAGTTTTCCTCAAGTCCTATCAACACCTTCCATCCACATACCATTGGGCTATACTTTGTAACACCTATCTGCAAGGAAGGTTGTGAAATAAAAATTTTCCCTGGGCACAAAATCAGGTTTCTGTTACTAAGAAAGAAGGAAGAAAGGGAATGGGATAGGCAACTAGCATTATCTGCCTTCTCTTTTAGGACATGTTTCTTTAGATGAACTTGAATTCATAGAAGGCTGAAATGATGTCAAATTCATTTTTGTAATCCTGGAGCCTAGCACAATACCATAGCTTATTTTTTGTGTGTGTTTTTTAATTAAAGAAGAAAATGAAAATCTTAGCTAGTAATGGGTTAGAAGGAAGATCAAAGAAAAATATAACAGGTGAGCAGGTGGCATTAGTTTATTCCATTTATTTGGTCATTCACTCATTCGTTATTTCAGCTATGTTCCCAGTCTGAGCCAGACCCAGTGTCAGGCATGGGGGATACAGTAAGTACCACACAGTCCCTGGCTTCAAGAAATGAGTAAGGGTGAGGCTGAGGGTGGATAGTGAGGGCTCTACAAGTAAAGGAGCAATTTCAGGGTAGTGTAGTAAGAGAACTGAGAAGTGGTCCTGAATCACCGTTTGAGAGGTTAGGGAGCTGTTAAGTAGTCTGGGTGGAGCAGGGTGGGGAAAGATGTAGGGAAAAGGAAAGTTAGGAGAGGCTACATAATAAAGGAACTGATGTTGTATGCAGAAGTCCATAATTTATTCCTCCCAGCACACATATCTATTTGCTGTGGCACAATGTTTGTCTCTCTCTTGGACGTCCTTATGAAAGGATTTCCCAATACTTTGCCCTGGATAGATCTGACCTATTGATGAGCTTCTAGGCTGGCCAAACTGTAGTCACTGCTGTGTTCCATGGACTATATTTAAGCATGGAAGCAACTGTCTTCCCAGTGTCCCACCTTACAGGGTGGTGCTTCACCTTACAGGGTGTTGGGAAATGCTTGTCTAAACATATAGTTCTCAAACTTGGCAATATGACTTACCAGGGATTTCTAGAGAAAGGGATTTACACCCAGGGGCTGCAGATGTGAACCTGGTTTTCTCAATGTGTTAATACCTTGGGTTTCAGTTATGTAAGTCACCAGAGGGGATCCACGATTTAGTTGAACTAATGAGTCATCACTGCAGCAATCTTACGGTTAAATCCCACTGACGGTTTGACTAGTAATAGAGACACCAGCATCTCTTCCTGCAAATAATTCAATTCCGTTCACAGCACAGAGGGCTAGAAATGTATCTACATCAAATTCCCATTTTCTTTGCCTATCTAAAGAGATGGCCCCCTCATCATAAAGCAGAGGTGACAAACAGAGAGAGATTTGAAGATGCTATGTCGTTGGCTTTGAAGAAAGCAGAAGCAGGCACAAGCCGAGAAATGCAGACGGCATCCAGACTGGAAAAGGCAAGGCCATGGATTCTCCCCTAGAGCCTCCGGATAGAACACAGCCCACACCTTGGCTTTAGGATTTCTGACCTCCACAACTGTAGGATAACACGTTCATGTTGTTTTTAGCCACTAAGTTCATGGTAACTTGTTTATAGTTAGCAATAGGAAACCGGTTACACATAAGTATGTATCTCTAGGTGCTGTCCCCCCATTCATTCCCACTGCTTTCCACGAAAGTCAGAGTCTCTCCCGTGGTAGTCTCCTCTATTCTGAATCTAACCTCTCAGGCTGTTCTCTTAAAACTCAAATCTGATTATGCCACAGGGCTTGAAGTGCATGAACACTCACTGATTTCTAGTTAGGTTACTTTTTGGGAATATAATTAGAAACCAGAAATAAAGGTTGTTTACAACTCCCGTCAAGGACATTTGGTGTGATCGCAGGAAGGCTTACCAGGGATATGATTATAGCTAAGAAAGCTTAAAACAAATTGAACTATGTGCTGAAGAAAGAATGTGTTAACCGCATGGGGCTGAGGTAGGGAACAGAGTTATCTGAGTTTATCCAGGACTGGATACAGGTAAACTCACTGACTTCAACAGCCATCTCGGTAAGGCACACTCTGGTTTACAGGTGGGGATACCTCACCAGGTACCTCGATCCTAGTAAGCGCTTCTCCTTACTAGTGAGCACGGTTATTTAATCATAGTAAATTTCATCTTGATTTATGCACTGGTCACATGAAAGTTGGTTGTCATGAGTCAGCCAACTTGTTCACCTCTGGATGCATGATAAAATTGATGTCAGGACCCTCCCTGTGACCAACAGAAACTCTAGGAAGGTTCTTCTACTTGGTAAGATCCAGAATCCTGGTTTAACAAGAGCCACACTCCTCCCTGCTATCACTCACCCCTGTTTCAAGAAAAAGAGGGATGACTATCACAGCAAAAAGAAAAAAAAAGGGGGGGGGAGAAAAGTTCTAAGAAGGAAGGAGAGAGAAGTCACCGTTTGCAAATGCCAAAAAGGGCACAAGATGGGGATTAAAATTTTCCATTAGATTTGGCAAGTAGGTGGTGACTGATGTTCAGTGGAGTGAAGGCTGACAAGACAATGAGAATTTAGAAAATGGTAACGTTAAGGATGGACAACTCTGGGGAAAGGATCCATGCCCTACAAAGACATCTTGAAATAAAATTCCCTTGGTTTGTACTTTTGAATCAAAGAGCATTCTCCTCCCCAAATCCTCCAAATGTTGATCAGCCAAATTTGAATCTCACCATTTCTCTCCTCAGTTAACCTCCGAGGTAGAGGAACTAATGAGCTGTGCAGTAACTAAAGGTCAAAAAACAAGGGGAAGAAACAGAAGGCCTACTACAAACCCAAACTCAACACAAACAAAACAAATCGGGCCTTGAGTAAGATGAGCTGTAACAAGCTGTGCTTCAAATTTAATATCCTTGTTTTGATGATGAATAAAAAAGTACCTAGAGAATTTAAAAGGGCATTTGATCATTGGAAAGCTTCCTTGCATCTCACCCGTTATCTTCACCCCAACTCCCTCCAAATTAATAGCTGTTGCAGAGTTGTGGGCAAGTGTGAGCACAAGCTGGACCAAAGGCTGAACTGTGTCCTGGGCTAGACTCACTGCATGCCAAAAAAGAAAAGGAAGGTGGAATAGGGAAAACATACCAGTGCGAACATACATATCTGCATTTCTAGATGAAAGCACCGTTTCCTTCCTCGGCTATCTGCTGTATTTAAAGGGGTGTGTGTGGGGGGGAGGGGGCGAGGGGTCCTGAATGGGAGCCGGCTCTTTCTAACGTGGTTACTCACGTCTGATTCATTCCCGTGTTTGTGGAGAGCGCGTGTGAGTCCTGTCTCTGTCACTGCTGCTGCTGAGTGGCTGAATCACTGCCACTCCAGACGAAAGCAATTCAATTCAAACCCAGTCCTTGGGGGCTGGAAGGGCTTTTTTTTTTTCTGTTTTTTT